GAGAGAGAGAGAGAGACAGAGACAGAGACAGAGACAGAGACAGAGACAGAGAGAGAGGGGGGAAGAGATAGAGAGAAAGAATGTGCGAAAAATATTGTGTGTGTGTATATATTTATATCTATTGAGGTTTTGAGGTCTTTAAAATTTGAGAATTGTTTTTCTATCCTTCTGCCTTCAGTTTACTTTTGGTATGTGAGGTTGGCAACAGGCGCAATAGGTGCACACTTACAGGTCAGTTAGTTCAGCACATTATATAATATCTATCTATCTCTCTCTCTCTCTCTCTCTCTCTCTCTCTCTCTCTCTCTCTCTCTATATATATATATATATATATATATATATATATATATATATATATATATACAGTGGAACTTTGATTCAACGAGGTCGTTGGGCCTGACATAAAATCTCGTTGAATCCGAGTGTTCGTTATAGCAAACACGAGGTTTTGTGTAGATAATTACAGGCACTGAGCAAGTAATGTATAAAGAGAAGTCACAAGTAGTGCCTGAAATGCCTGCATATTATGAGCTGAGAAAAAAAAACCCGAATCGTTCAAATACACAAGCCTGTGTCATCTCGATTGTTTACCAAAAAGTTGTGTTGCTGTGTAGAGCTGAGCATACGGCAACTTTTGATTCCATAGACCAGCGCACAATTCATTACGTAGATCTACGTCAAGACTAGCTTATTATTGTAATAATGATCAGTTGCCGCGGGAAAAAAGACTGACGCGTTTGTATATGCAACGTTCAACGCCCGGACCGCTAGTGTCCCCCCCCCCCCTCCCCGACACGCAAACACAGCCACACGTGTGCAGGCCGCCCATCCGACCCCGACACACGCCAGAGTAGACACAGAGGGCCAACAACACATGTGTTGGTATTTTAAAAGGCCGCTGATTGATCGCATGCAATCGGCTAAGTGAATAATGGTTCATGATGCAGGAGCAATGGATGGTTTCCAGGAATAGATAAAGTTTGTTCTGGGAGAAACATTAGCGAAGCCACGTCTGCGGGGGCTGTTCACCCTGGAAGCGACCTCGTTGAATACGAGCTCGCTCAATTAAATGCTCGTTGAATCCAGGTTACTTTTATTGATTTTAACGAAGGAAAAAAACGAGGAATCTATCTCATCTCGTTGAATCCGAGCTCGTTAAATCCCAGTTCCACTGTATATATATATATATAGATAGATATATATATATATATATACATATGTGTGTGTGTGTGTGTGTGTGTGTGTGTGTGTGTGTGTGTGTGCGTGTGTGTGTGTGTGTGTGTGTGTGTGTATTGGGGTGTTGGGTTCAGGGGAAGGGGTAGTACCTCACGGTGAATGACAGTCACATTCTGTATGGATGGTCACGACTCACGACCCTACTTGGTCCCCACTTCTGCACCTAGCTCACGTATGGCTCCACGGATACTGCTAGAGAACGGCAGTGGCCACACCCGGGCAAAGGTTTTGGCTGACCGGCTAAACTACAAGAGTGAGCCTTTGGGCGGGGAGTGTCTACCCCTAGTACACAAAGACTGGCTCCGGCAGACTGCGCGGAGGAAACCCCCAGGGTTCAACGGGTGGAAAGGCGAACCCAGCAAAGCGCTGTAGAGCGCAGCATAGGGCACAGTGAGGCACAAAAGACACTGCTGACCATCCACTGCATCCTGACATTTCTCCAGTCGTCTTGACCATATTATGTCCTGCCAGTGGCTACATATGGGCCGGGACGAGAGAGTGAGGCTGACGACCTGCGCAACTCTCCCTCCCTGTAATCCAAGTCAAGCGCAAGTCATGACCTCATTCCTTCGTTCCTTCATTCCTATATATGTATGTACGAGTGAGTGTATGTGCGCGCGTGTGAGTGTGTGTGTGTGTGTGTGTGTGTGTGTGTGTGTGTGTGTGTGTGTGTGTGTGTGTGTGTGTGTGTGTGTGTGTGTGTGTTGTTGTTGTTTTAAAATAACCTTCTGGAAATTGTCTTCCCTGTATATTATAACAAGACTGAACATGGCGGCGGAGTTGGTATTGTATTTGGCCAACACACGGAAGTTGACATTCGATTCTAGAGGCTTCAAATCATTTCCGGTTTTCCCTGACAAAAATAAAACAACAGATTTCTGAGCTAATGTGTCACGACATGGTGGAATCAAGCGCTGGTCAATTTTTGGGCATATGGAGTTATTGGTTTTATCTAAAAACTTTTTCATTTGTCTTGCTTTAAATGAAAGAAATACCCATTTATCAGGAATAGCAGTCAAGATAGTTGTGGTTGAAGGAGATGGGTGGGGGG